TTCCCCTCCCTCCCTCCCTGGGCTCCCCGCCCCCCTAGCTCTGCCAATGCCCGTGCCCCCTCCCTCACCGTGGTGACCATGCAGTAACTCTCCTTCCAGGCCCCGCAGCAGCCGAAGAAGGAGACGAAGAAGATGACGACCCCCACAACGATGATGACGATGGGGGCGCCCGAGGCCGAAGCGCTGCTCATGATCAGCGTGTTGTTGAGCTCCATCTGCACATAGATCCCGATGACGATGAGGGCGATGCCGCAGAGCTGGGGGGAGAAACGGGGGGTGGGGGGGAGGGAGGTCAGTGCGGTGCAGGGTCCCATTGGGGGCATGCCCCTCCCCTACACTCCCCACCCCTCCCACACCCAGTAAACAAGTGCCCCAGACCCCACCAGAGCCAAGAACGTGCTGCCTACATCTCTGCTGGATGGCGCCTGACCTGCTCAGCTGCGTGTCACAGCCCCGTACTGCTGGAGGCAGATGGAGAGTCACCTGCTGCCAGGGTGGCTTGTGGGAAAATGCCACTCCTGCCATCCTCAAGGAACTCCTCTCTTTGCTGCAAGAGCTGACGATTCCTCAACGACACCGAGGCACCCGCCAGGCAGAAACGTTGAGCCTCTGAGGAGGGGCAGGTTCACAGCAAGTGGGCTGGAGAAAGGGGTCCCCTTCCCCGGAGGCCTGCCCAGCATCCCCTCCTCCTGGGTTCGGAGATTTGGGGATACCTCTCCCCGCAGCCGGAATGCAGCCAGGACACTGGGGTTCACACCCCAACCCCCAGGCATGCTGGGCAAGGCCAGGCAAACACCCTGGATTCCAGTAGCTGCCTGGGTGGCATCTCAGACACCAGACAGGGGCGGGCAGAGAGATTCTCCCCCCTCGGTAACAAGCTGGAGCAAGGAGAGGGGTGAGACGTGCCAGGTAAGCCCTGCCCGGCCCCAGAGAGAGACCCACAGACAGACCCAGGCCCTGCGGCCTCCTCCTCTCCCCATCCAGCCAGCGGATCTCAAAGCACAAACTCAGAGTTTCACCCCCATGTGCTCTCCTTCCCCAGAACACCCCCCCCCCCTCCCCTGCCAGCCACCACCTCCTTCCCAAACAGCCCTGCCCGGCCTATTTACCTTTCCCCGCCCAAGGAATTCAGACCCAGTTGCGGCTGCACAGACTCCACCCACTGCCGCCCGCTCAGCTGGGAGTGAGG